AGCCCGTGAAGAGGCGCGCCCGGGGCCCAGGTAAGCGCTGCCCGCCGGGCCCGCTGCCGCCCGGGAGGGGCTGCTCGTGGTGGTGATTTTGTGAGCTAGCCCGGGACCCACTGCTGCAGTCTTTCGGGGGCTGTTTAAGCCACAGCTTTGCGTCTGGATTTTATTTAGGTTTTATTTGGTTTATTTATTTTGCTCATCCCACATCTCCAGCTGTGGGATGAGCAGAGGGCGCGGTCCCTTACAGCCATTTTGTGAAGCAGTTTAGGTGTCAGTATCGCTAACATCGGAGCAAGTAAAGTTTAAAAAAATGAGCCTGATTGGAAAAGGTTTAAGTAAGGTGGGCTAGGACAGCAGAGTCCCAGTATATATTGGCAACTGAGCACACCACCATAAACGCGATGGAGAGAAAATTCAATAAAAAGGAAGTGTTGTGTTTTGGGTTGGCTCAGGACTGCAGTAAAGTCTGAACAGGAAGCAAAGCCTCACCTTCGCATGGTCCCTGGTTGCTTTGCTGTGTGCTGCTAATGAGTGATATTGGTTACTGGCAGCAAACAGAGGTGGGCAGTAAAAAGATCCAACTCAGTTGGAAGACAGGAGCAGGGAATTGCCTTCCTGGCTGAGTGATTAGGCTCTGCAGTCTACTTTAGGAGGGCTCAGTCAGTTCTGAAACTTTTCAGGAGATTATTGCAGAGATTCATCCGGAGGACTAAGAAAGTGGAGCCAGTGGCACTATATTGACTCCATTGATACTATCCTCCTAAATTAAATGGTAGAAGAACAAGGCCTGCCTGTGAGATAAAAGTCAGGACCTACTTGATCTACCTACAATGTTTTAGTGGCAGTGATAGAGCAAGTTAAAAGTCATGTGTTTCTGTAGTAAAAGGTCAGATGTGTTTGTTTTAAATCTACATTAAACTATTTCAGGGCTGTTGTATTGTCTCTTGTATCTGTGCGTTTGACATGTCTTACATGTGTAATTGCTCACAGGCCCTTTGTTCCCGGCTCCAGCACTGGGTGAGGAGGGACACTGGACATGCCTTCGATTACGGTAACAGGTTTGAAAACTTTTCAGCCTTAGAAACCTGTGTGAGACAAGTGTGGCCTTCTGAAAGGGCTTCACCTGATGCCCTCCAGTGGCAACAACGTGAATCTGAAATCGCAGGGCATTGGAAAAAGGGATCCTTCTGGCTCGCTTTGAAGGGGTTGGGCAGCCCTGGCAAAGTCCCCAGTTAGCTGCTGGGAGAGGCATGGTTGGGGCTGTCTTGTTCTTTGGCAGTTCCTGATACTGCAAGTCCTGCAGGGATGCATGGATCACTGCTGCACATGAGGGCTGCCTGTGGGCTTCAGCTGGCCAAAACCAGAGCTTTACACATGAGCTTCTGTCCTTTGCAGAGGATGGATTTTGCTGTGTGCCAGTAAATTCCCATAAGGAAAAGGAACAGGAAGAAAAAGACCCAGCAGGTACTAGGAAAAATGCAGCTTGCAGCACATAATGTTAGAGACAAGGACAACTCTTTTTTAATTGACTACTGCCCTGCCACATGTTGTAGTTCAGCCAGAGTTCCTGTATACAGGCCAGATGTAAGAACTGATTTTGCCTCATCTGAATGACCTTTCAGTACAGAGAAATAGATCAGATCAACACCTCAACACAGTTCTCCAAGTTGAGTGCCATACCCAGAGTTCCAATAAACTAAATACACCTGGTGAATAAACTGAATACAGAGGCATGCATTGCTTATATGAACTTACAGCTTAGTAGGCCACTGCTGCAGAAGTAGTGGCCTTCCTGTAAAACATTTATATAGAGATTGTTTTGAGTAACAGCTGGTTCTGAGAAACACATGTCAAGTTTTCTTTGCTGTGTAAGTGTTTAAGTGATGGGGTTTGGATTCCTAAGAGAGGAAAGCTTGGGCTAGTGCCAGCAGGTGAAGCTTTTGTTAAACAGAAACATACAAACTCATTTCCCTTACTGTTTTTAACCTAGAAGCCAATTACTGCATATTTGTTCTTTCTTTCAGATAGTTCTGTCAATGCTATAGCTATCCTGTGCCATGCCTGGTGATGACCATGGGGTCATTCTCCTGAGCAGACTGCTCTATACTCAGCCACCTGGCCAGCATTCTCCAGTAGATTCACCAAGCATAACAACAGAGCTGTTTGGTACCTGCGGAGTTCCACTGCAAGGGTGTCTGAGCACCTCGCTTTTGACTCAGAAAATCTGCCCTTGCACGGTCCAGCAAGAGAGTTCTGAAGTCCTGGGGACTTGCCAGTTCAGTTCACTGGTTGGAAAGTATTTTTCCAGGTTACAGCTATGGTTTAAACACTTGAGGTGAAAGCTGGTGGTGGGGTGTGGAATCATGGGTTCACCAGCAGCCTTTGTGCATTAGAGGCTCTCTTGGGAGGTTGAGATGTCCTCATACCTCTGCTCTGATACCTGTGTGTTACACTCTTTCAGGTATCTACTTGGAAATAAGAGTAGGGCTCTCAGTTTTTGGCTGATAGGGATAAAACATGTTCCAGTGGGTATAAGTTGGAGCCAAAGACAAGGAGTATATTTTTAAGCAAAGAATGGTGCTTTCTCACCACTTCAATCCCCAGCACAGGAGCTGTACCCTAGAACTGCTGTTCCCTGGGATGGCCATGCCAGCATCAGCGGGGCACACATGCCCACAAGCTGTTCTGCTCACTGGCAGATAAAGCAACTTAAAGTCTCTGGCCTGCTTACAGCAGGTCTTACAAAGTATCCAAAACAACTTTTTCTGCCCTGAAAATATCTTAATTCCTGGTAGGTTAAGAAATGACCCTGTGCTGGTATAGCTCAGTGTTGCTAAATGCATCCTCTGAGGCTTTTGAAACAGATACCCAAGAGCAGATGGTACTAATCACTGCTGTAGTGGCATACTCAGCTCCTGTTTCTGTGGTTTCTAAAGGCCTGTTTTGGCAAGACTTTTTTTTAAGCTATTTGGGAAAAATAGAAGCTTTTGACACACAGTTCTATGTAAAATCTCTTTGGTTTTGCCAATGGCGTTTATTTATAGAGACCCTGCATATTGTAGAGGCCACTGCTTGTTCCTGGTGATTCCCTAGAATGGAAACTTGAACCAATGATTTTTGTAATGAATATGCAATAAATCTGTGGAAAAGCTTCTCTCTTAATGACTCTTGATTGAGTTCAGGTAGTTTGGACATCTATGGATGAGGCTGTTCAGAGTTGACCAAGCCTGCTTGACAGGCAGGGCCTGTCTTGATTGGTGTCTGGAAATGAAATCCAGACAAGGATCTTTCAACAGCAGAGAGTGTGCCAGAGTCCTTCCAGCCTCACTGGACACCCAAAGCTTCAAGGGCACAGCACTGGAGTGGAATTGTTCAGTGCTGAAGGGGAGAACAGATCTGTGAGTGTGGAGGGAGGATACACCCAAGCGGACGTGAGAATAGCTAAAAGGAAGCAGCTAAAGGTGTTTTAGGTTTTTCTATAAGGAAAATCAAGTACTGCAAAAAGCCTGTCTTATCTTTTTTTTCCCTGGGTGAATGAATGAGAAGCATTCTGTAAAAATGTCTTATATTTGAGTGCAGGCTTGGGTATTCCAGAAAGCCTCAGTGGGTATGTAGGCACTAACAGTTCACACACAGGGGAGGAATATTTGATTATCTTGTGTCACAGACTCTGTGTAGCAACCAGAAGACTGGATTGGGAGATCAGCTTCATGACTGGAGTGTTTTCAGCTCTAGTAGCCGTACAGTCATTATGCCTTTTGCTATTTTTGTTTTCCTTTGAGTAGACTCAGGAGTAGAATTGACGACTGCTTTGGAACTGGGGAGTTCCCTCAGCTTCAGGTGGGTGTTGGGGGAGCCTGTGATCCAGCTGCCACTGCCATGTGGTAACAGCATCACTTCAGAAGGATGGTACCAGTTTCTAACAAGAATTCTGGGATGGATCTTGTGACCACAGTGGCTTTTTCTAAGATCCTTCCCAAGAGGATGTGAACTCCTAAGGGCTCAGGCTTGGCAGCTGGTTTGGGTCAGATTTGCTTTGCTTTTACTAGAGGGAAACAGCTGGTTTATAGGGAGTATGCTGGAGCAGTTAATGCTGAAAGAGGGCATTGCTCAGGGCAGGTTACACATAGGTGTGGTAGCTGCAGAACACAGGTTATGGCAGGGCAGTCCATGGGGGTGTTGTAATTCCAGTATGTATCCTTAAGATACCAGGTGTTTCCAGTGCAAAGCAAGGGTGGACATAATGCTGGAAGTGTGAGTTGAATGTGTAAAGGTGCTGGGCAATATCTGCATTGAAAAATGACAGTCTGCAGTTCTCATAGTCCAGCAGGATGCCAATCCTTCTGGGGGGAATAGTAATTCTGATGTCAGGTGTCATCCCACTGTGCAGGAATTCATACTTGTGCCTGCAAGCGAGAAAAACAGACAAAAGAGCTGAAGGAACCCTGGCTGCTCTCAAAGGGAAGCACTTTGTGCACTCAGGTGCCTAGGCTGCTCATGAGTGTCACAGGTAGTGATGTTAATGTACCAGTGTCCAGGGAAGAGCCAGCAGTGCAGCTGAGGCAGGAGGGGAGCTGGCATTTCTGCAGGCAGGTATGACATGATTCCATAGGTAGGACAGATCAAAACCAGTTTGGTATAGCTGGGTTTAGCCAGATACATAATTTCTGGATTACACAGATCTATTACTCTGTCTTTCCACTGGGGTTTTGGTAATGTTTACAGCTAAATTCTGCAACTCTGATTTTATTCAGATTTGTTCCTGCAACTGCTTGTTTCAATATGATGTTTCACTTCAGTGAGAGAGTGTACCACAGACAGACCCTTCAGCTTTATTCACTAGCATCCTCTCAAGGGAACTGGGTGCTTTGAAGATGCAAATCTCAAAAGGCAAGTTCTGGAGCAATTAAATTGGGCAAAAGAACCCACTCCAAATGCTTCTGAAACCCCCTAAAAAAGCAGGAGGATTTGCTTAAGTGTTCCAGTATCCTTCCAACACCAGTTTACGGTGACAGCAGTGGAATGTCAGAGACCCTGGTGCCAGGTCTGAGCTGATATAAAATCTCTGGTTTCTCTGCTTCCCAGCCTGCAGGTGTAAGAGGTGTTTCTGTCAGAGACCTGCAGCCTCCACAGCCCTTACCTTGAGGGTGTGATGATGTGCCTCATGCACCAGGATGAGTTGTTTGCCCCCAGGTGACCATGTCTCGGAGTATTCTCAAAGGCCACGCCAGTTCTGTACTCTGTATCTTCCTCAACTTCCACCTCCCAGTAATGCTTTCCTGGAAATGGGATCAGACTGCCGAGGATTGCAATACATCTGTGGGAGACAGACAGGAATATGTGTTTTGGCAGGCCCTCTCTGTAATGCTTTTTACACTGTTTAGATGTGTTCAGGTATGTATATACCTGCATAAACAAAAGCCACTTCTGCTGTCCCCTTAGCAGTGCAGTGTAGATTTTTGACTCCAGTGAAATCCCCACACTGTGGAGCTAACACCCAGCCTGCAGGTTTCTTTGTGACACCTACCCTGTTTTCACTTGTGGGTAGCTTTGTATAAACAAGTGCCCTGGGCACTTCCAGAAAGATGAAGAACAGCATCCCATAGTGCCTGGGTTTTCTGGGAAAGTTAATGCTTGTTAGAAAAGAGAGTGCTCTGGTGAGCCCCAGCATAGCAGCGGGAAAAGTCTTCAGATTTTGCATTTTCTTTCCAAACAGCCCAGGGTTTTGAACATCACTCACCATTAGGAACTGAGCTCTGTATCAGCACGAAGTTCCTGGGGCAGCTGGGGAGGAGGGAACCTGTCTACACTGTGTTTGGAGATATTAGGAAGAATTGAACATGGTAGGAGAATTTGTAATATGTTGGGTTCCTGGGCCATGAAATGTACAATAGGAACCATGCAGAAAATAACTCTTTTGAAAGTTGTGTAGTAGAGACAGTCAAAGACAATGTACTACAGGGAGACCCTTCAGCTTGATTTACTGGCACAGTCTTGGAGTCAAAGGAACTGGGTGCTTTGAAGATGCAAGTCTGCAAAAACACAGGTTCTAAAGCAAGAAAATTGGGCAAAATAACCCACTCCAAATGCTTCTGAAACAGGAGTGCAACATGGTTCCTGTAAGCTTATACCTCACTTTTTCTCTGTAAAAGTACATGCTGTCACTTTCAAGGGGGACAGCAGGTTTCAAACACACACAACTTTTATGTTCCTATGGTAGTGTCTAAAGTTGTAAGTTTCTAAGCAAAAGGATGTTGCTGGCAGACACTGAGCTCCCCTGGGCAATGCTGAGAGAGAGCTGCACTCATCATTTGGAGGGCCTGTTGTGTGAGGATGGGCACGCACAGCACAATAGCAGTGCTCTGCCTCTGCAGCTGCACTTGCTTAGAGCACGTGTACAGTTCATTGCAAGTGCATGTAAATGTCTTGGGAACGATGCAAAGGCTGTTGAAATCAGAACTCAGAGGGGCTGTGTTACTGCAGCTTGAAAGGAAAAGGAATGATGGAAAATGGATGGGTAAACATCTGTGAACAAAACATGACCATGATATAATGAGAGCTGCACAAGAGACACCAAGGCAAACCTGAACTGTGCTGAAGAAGCAGTTAGGAACTACATCAGCTGCACAAACTTCAGAAAGAAGAGTTTATAATGTAATTTCCTTGGGAGCTTTTGGGGTTTTGTTTGTTTGTTTTTTCTTTTTTGTCTGTTTTTTTTTTTTCTTTTTTCAGTATCTTGGTTTGAAGGAGACTTGTGAAAGTTCATAGTGGAACCATAACCCCAGCCTTTGAATGAGGAGATGAGTTCCAGCTCTGGCTGTTTATGTGAAACATAAAAACATCCTGCAGAAGTGGGATGAAATCCCATTTAAGATTACCATGATGGCTTTCATGGAAAGGATCACCAGTCTCCCAACTCTCTTCTACCAAATACCCTCTAGTAGCACTGCATTTCCATGGAAGCAAAAATGTGGACTTGTATTATCCTGCATCTGCAGATGCCTGTCCTGGTTATATGGTGTTTCTGTGGTTTTGACTAGAAATAGGCATTTTGGCAAGCTTAGTCTCTCATTCAATGGCAAAGGGCCTAATTCTTTTTGAAAGTAATACATGTTGGTCCAAACAGTATCAGTTACATCTGTCAGCAAGAGGTAGATTTCAGATCCTTCTCCTTTCCTTAGCATTTGTTATGGCACCTAAATACCTGTTCAAATTTAGCTCAGTGTGCCAGACATGTAAGTAGACTTGTACATAATTGTGGCTGCTGCATCTGTAATCCTATTTAAGAACTTGCATTAATTTCCAAGTTCCAAAGAGCAGCTGGAGAGAGAGATTTCAACTCAAGAGAATAATCAGAGCTGCTGAAAGCCCCGTTAGATATTTCCTGGCATCTGTTAAAAGAACCAAAGAAACTGAAATGCCCCTTTATACCTTGTAAAGCTGTTATCATAGACAGGCAGATCACACTCTGGGTTTTCCAGTTCATCACATGAAATGGTAAATCCATCATCTAGAATTGCCAGTAAAGGATGGGCTGTGTCCTCATTAAGGTAGAAGCAGGTGCCTGCAAGAGAAAATGCCTGAGGATAACTCCACTAACTCCTTATAACATTAGACTTGCAGCAAGGGTGTGATGAATGTTATTTGGATCCACAAAAAGATTCACCAATGCTCTAGAAAGAATCTGTGGTTGACATTGAGAGGACAAGATCATATTTTTAAAGTTTTTCTAATAAATGGCTGCTTTACAGCTTAACACTTTAGTTTCAGCCTTGTGAAGAGCGGGGGACTTAGCCTGGCTTTGAACCCTACCAGGGGTCAGAGCTGCAGGCATTGTGCAGGAAGGAGTTATGCAGCGATGAGGGGTCCTCCCTGCAATGGACTGTCTGGTTTCAAGTAATCTATTTTTAATCACTGAAATGAGAAAGGGGGGCTTAAAGGACTCTCCATGGCCTCACTCATCCACATAAAGGCTGGGCACAGTTTGAACAGAGAGGTAAGTCCAGCCCAGGATAAAAGTGCTTCTGCCTTTCTTCCTGCAGAGACTTCACAGAGCAGGTCTGACACACTGGGGGCTGAGGAGCAGCTGCTATTGGCACAGCTGCTGTTTGTAGCTGGTGCTTCTTTCTCCACCCCAGAGAGGATCAAAGGCCA